AAAAAAAAAAAAAAAAAGCAACAACAACAAAAAAAAACCCAAACAAACGAAGAAAATCACCCAAACGCAACCTGACAAAACCTCGCACCGAACTTTCCACGTTTCTCAGATGTGCTCCAACCGAAGGTGGGCCTGTCAGGGGGCTGGACAGCTGCCAGGTTGAAGCGAGCTGACAGGCTGGTGCTTTTTTGCAGGCGACCTCCATAAATCAGAGCAAAGCGCGCAATTAAGTTCAGTGGTAGTTGCCGTGCCCCAGGTGCACCAGCGCCTATGAATAACAGGCTTAAAGCTTGGAAGAATAGCACGGCCCAGGTTGGATAAGACATCCTCCTGCAGCACGGCGGGGAACGCGCACCGGCAGCGCTCGGCTGGCACAGCCCGGCACGGCCCAGACAAAGGCCCCGCCGCGGGCTGGAGCGCTCGGGCAGATCCACCCCGACAAAGATTGCTTTCTAATGCCTGTCAGACCTTCCCCCGCTCCTGGTGGCAGAGCTGAACGCCTTCCCGCGAGCATTCCGTGACCTATATATACCCACGGGTCGTGCCTCGGCAGACTGAGTCACACTCGTAAGGGAGCTGTGCACTAAGTCATCCGGACACCATTTCGCATCGCCCCTGACAGGCCGGCTAACAGCACGCACACACACACACACACACACACACACACACACACACACACACACACACACGCCGCCAACTTGGGAGAACAAAGCCCGGCTCCGCTGAGAAATATAAGCTCTGAACTCGGGAGAATTGCCGATGTTAAATACACAGCCACAGCTTCTGCCACGAAAAGTAGGGAAGGTGAAGAAGAAATAAAGCGGAGAAAAAGAGCGCCATCCTTACGGGCGAGGCTTCACCTGGCCAGCAGGATCTGCTCCTGACAGCGACTCTGACTCGGCCTACCTCACCTCCCAGGGAGGGCACAAGCTCCTGCCCTTCAGGGATGCTGTTCGGCTGGGCCAGAGTTACTTTTCCATATCTGAGTACAGGGGGGTGGAAAGTATTTTTTTAGAGGCTTTAGCATTACTATTAGTCTGTGCCTCAGTGTGCTAGGGATGCACGCTGATAGTATTCTGCAGATGTGGCACTGCAGATGGCAAACTATAATAGGTGCATTTAAACAACTAACTTAAATATGTGTTTCTACACGACCAAACGCATGATTTAACCAACTCTCACTAGACAAGTCTACAGACCCCGAACAAGAATTCCAAAATCTGGGAGAAACTGAGGAAGTATTTGCATCCACACAAAACACTTTCTGTTAGCCAAAACCAGTCCTTCTATTCACAGTTAAAACACAGAGACATTTCAGATTAGATGTCTCACAACCGAGCTATCCAGTACTACTCCCTGGTCTTATCCTCTTATCCCTGAGGACTGCACAGCACACTGACCAAAGGGGATCAGCAAGAAGAAAACCCGCAGAAGGTCAGATGAGAGAACACATCTGAAAACAAGGAAAACAAGGTCTGAAGAGGAAAACTTAAGTAGGATAACAGAGAAGAAAGCATGAATTACAACTTTAGAACGAGCATACCATCTTTGACAAACCGTGCTTTGTGTCACTTAGTCAGCAGCCACCTACAGAGTAAGGTCAGACACCAGGATCTTAGAAGGCTGAACCATCTGACCCCAAAACACCCCAAAAAAGTATGGGATGTTTCACAGGATTATGAGGGAAGTAATTAACCCTTTTCTGTAATCTAAACATCCAAGGCAAGTCAGACACACTACTGATCCCTATTTTTCCATTTGGGAACACTGTCCCATGACAAATTCCTGCTAGAACCTGGATTAGAAAGATGTTGTACATCCACCGTGGAGCAACAAAACCACAAACCCTTAAGCGCTCCCAAAATGTTAGGACTTAGAGACTTTCTTTACTATCTTATCTGACATTAAAACCCCCTTTATATAATGCTTTCACACGTGACAGAAGTAGGAAAAATAACAATGGGATGATAAGATTTATTCCAGCCTGACTGCTCTGCTGAATCATTAAAAAGTAAGCTTTGGTAATGGTGAAGCCCACAAGGCCTGCCTGCAGGGAAGACAAAAGTAAATATTTGGCAGCTGGGGTAGTTCAAAAGGGAGATGAGGACAGGTGTGAAGAGGAACTGCTTCTGCGGACACGTGCATGGAAATCTTGCATTATTTCCTGTCCTTTCCCATAGGCAGCCCCTTCCTGCCTTTCGCAGAATGATCTGAGCTTTGGAGTGGAAACTACCAGTACCACCTAGGGACCTCTCTTCCTCTCCTCTGCCTCCCTAAGGTACTGCATCCTGCTGCTCACACCACTCCCCTTTGCAGCAGTCTATTCCCACTTCCGCAGCCAGAAGCCATCCCCTTTCCTACACAACAAATAGCTTATTTGCGTGCCAAAGAACTCAGTCTCCACCTCTCTCTAAAAGAGGTAGGTATGCTAGTGCTCTGTGAGCAGCAGCCTGCCTACCCACTCACCCTAACCTCCATCCCAGGCAGCTGCTGCATATATGGGAAGGACAAGAGCTTCTCCTGCTGCAGGGAGGGGAGGAAGCAGATTAGAGCAGCCCTGCAAAGTACAGCATACTGTTTGGAGGAGATGGGAAAAGGGACAAGCTCCCACAAGGAGCTGCCTTCTGGCCCTTTCAAGTTGTTTCCTGCTTCTCCCACCTTAGTAGGTGGTCACTCTCTAAGGTTTCACAGGAAGCAGCAGGAGAGCTATCAGCTGTGCTGCAGTGTGATCTTCTCAAACAGGTGCTCCACATCTTCTCCAGGGACAGGCCCAGAAGGAACAGACATCTGAGCCATGACTTTGCAGTTTAGACAGGGAAAGGCAAATAGTCCTACTACTACCTCTGGAAATAACCGGCGTGCTTTGCACGTGCCTGAAGCTGGCTCAGTAATGTGAAAAGGCCACATCATACTCTGCACTGAGCAATTTAATGAACCACCTCCATTGGTGATCTCAGGTATACCTGCATTTTTCTTTTGATTTTTTACTACTTTGGTCTACAGAAGATTTGTTGTTCTTTTTTGTTTGTTTGTTTTGAACCAGCCACCGCTTTATCTGGCTTTCAGTGTTGGCAGGATTGGGTTCATAGCAACAAATTAATGTGATCTTTCTTTCCAAATCACAAACTAGACAGTGCAACATAGTAGCCTCTGATTTTAGTGTTTTCTTTCTTTTTAAGATGTCATAGGATTCACAGTTCAAACAAGCATGCAATTAATCAGCTTCTTCCGTTCCTCCCATCTGACCTGTCCATCACATGAAGCTGCTTTTCAGTGAGGCAGGCTGCTCATTTTGTCACAACTGACACCAAATATAGAAGACACATGAAGGACAAAGTTTCTCTCCGTTTCTTGTTTGTTTAATGAAAGGATTTATACAGTCAAAATTTAAACTGAAATGACAGACAGGGCTATGTTATGAGCTGTATTGCATTACAAAGTGGTTAAGATGCAGCCTGTGTCAAATAGTTAACTGGGGCTTATAACACTCTATCCAAAAGAAAAAAATAATGTTCTTTGATAAATACATGTGTATTTCTGACTTTATTTATCAGAATTTTATGAGTGCAATTCTGCTCTTTTATTTAAACTAATTAGCTTATTTGGGAAAGAAAATCATTTGGTTTTGCACAGCATTTAAAAATCTAAAGAAAGAAATCAGAGTATTCTTTTCAATACTTAAATTAAAAATACTGAGAGATATTATTAGTAAATATTAGCACACTCATGCCAGACACATTATTAACTTTCATCATAAAATTTCACTTGGATATATTCATACCATAATCTATGCTAAGTTGCTGGAATCTTACTCAGATATTGTAGAGACTTAGCGCTGCTGAAATATTGCAGCTCAGACGATTAATCTTTTGGGCTGTTGATTCATTTAAAAATTTGATGCAACGATCTGTCACTTAGACCGACTCCCCGGTCTGCAATACTGCCAAAGCAAGCAAATTTCCTTTCACTGAGTTAAAATTCTACCAAAGCAGCACAGCATCCCAACACAGCATCAGAGTTTTTTGAAGAAGTTTGATACTGAAGCCGACAAAACGAGAACAACCTTGTTTTCAAAAGAGCAGCTGGTAACAGCAAGACAAGTTCATTAAGGGAAAAAGTAAACTTTCTCAACACCTTTGTGTAAGCATAAGGAACAACACATGCTCTTCAGTGCTGCTCAAAACATGTCTCTCACAGGTAAAACAACAGGGCTTAGGAAATAGCAGAATACTGTAGTCATCTAGCTACTCACGTACAAGAGTTATTGCAAGGGAAAGAAGATAAAGTCTTTCCAGAGACACAACTAAGAAACGTGATTTGTTCCTTCAAAGGAAATGCTGCTCCTTTAATCTGCACAGCATGTCCCAGGACTTAGAGAAGGCGTGCAAAGAGATGTGAAGATTGAGTGGAGAGGACAGACAAGTTCTGAGGTCTGATATCCAGCAGAGCCATAGGAACCCAGGCATGTTTCTGAACCACTCTTTCTAACCGTTGCTTATTAAACAAAGCTTCATTGCAGCCAGGTCCTTGTAAAAGTACACTAATTGACTAGTCCTGCAGTAAATGTTTTTCTACTTCCTGGTGCAAAAAATTGCTAGGAGATGCTCAATGTCATGCAGTAATATGGCCTGTTCAGCCTTTAAGCCTACGAATATTTGGAAATGGAGCACAAAGGTTATTTTAGCTGATACAGTATTTTGGTTTCAAAAACATGCACTGAGAGAAACAGCTTGAAGCATTTTTTTTTAAGCTGCGACTTACTCTGTATATAAAACCCACCCGTAGGACAGGCTGAAACACAGTCTGTATGAATTCTGCAGTAGGATAGGCTAATCAACTGTAATTTATTGAACAGTCCACAAAGCCAGTTCAGGAGGACAACATTTGATTTTACAAGCCAGTATTTCTAAGTTCTTCAGGAAACATTGTCTCTGCTAACTGAGAAAAAAAGTTCATTCTTGCCAAAGGAGAAAGTAGTTTATTACGATCTGTGCCTCATTTAGCTGAAGCAGAACTGACCACTGATAGTCAGTCTTGCAGAATATATGCAAAGCTGATTCATTAACTGCAATTTTAAAACCCTGATACAAATGGATTTTGCAAACTGATTCGGATTAACCAAGTCTGGCTGTGCTTCCATCTGGAAGTTATATTTTATAACACTAACCACATCTTGAAAAACAGATTCAGATGTTTGGAACAAATTCAGAACAGTTGTAAGAAATTCTAGATACAAATGAAAAAAAAATTGAGCTTTAATGTCTTTTTCCTCTCAGTTTTCTTTCAAGTGAGCATTTATAATCATGGTGTTTAGGGAGTTGAGGGGTAAGGAAAGAATCTTTGTTATTATCTATGACGTATTTACTCATGTGTAACAGCAGTTTGTTCTCTCATACTACTCAGTAGTATTTTAAGCCTATCCTTGTAAAGGGACACGATGCTGAGTGAAAACAGCAGAGAAGCAGGGTTGAAGCATCTGGTTTATCTACAAAGACTTTGTGCTAGAAAAACTGTTTTTACATGAAACAGTAAAATGAATATAACCTCTAGAGCGAGGGACATATTCACATATCAATATTCATATAAAAACATTTTTTTTAAACAGACATCTTCTAGCACATGGCTTGTGTCAGCATCAAATAAGTGAGTTGTACAGCTTGCAACAAGTGCTGAACTTCCTTAGTTGGACAAAAACTTTTTTTTTCCCCCTCTAGGCCCCTCATCTCTGGATTTTGGTCAAACCTAAATTACTGTTGAAGCATCTCTTAATATATAAACCACACAGAAGAATAGATCAGTGTCAGAAGAAAATAAGCTAATTTTGAAACCTAACAGATCCAGAAATGTTTATGCCTTGAAAAGAAAAACTAACCTTGCTGGGTATGGCAAAGACTTCTGCCTTTCCCACATGTTTAGAGAAATTGTGTAGCCATAAACAGGAAAGCCAAACAAGAGAAATGTGCCTGACAGTTTCTCCAAAAACACGGTATTGCGGATGACTGAGGACAAAAGACAAAACAAGATTTCTGCTCCACTCACCTCATTTAATGCAGATCATCTAGAAATCCCACAAACACTGTTCTCCATAACATACAGAAGTTTCCTGACTTACCTTGTCTTTTTGCTGGTCTTGGGTTTTGGCGTGGTATTTTTTGCTTTCTTTTCCTTTGGCTCTTTAGGGGTCTTAGGGACTTTGGGGGTCTTGGGTTCCTTCTTTTCCTTGGGCTCTTTAGGATCCTTCGGTTCTTTTTTTGCCTTGGGCTTTTTCTTTTTCTTTTTATCTTCTTGGGAGCAATCCACTGAGTTCCTGCTTAGATTCTGGCTGTCAAGTCCCCCAGGAAAGTCTTCCTTACCAAAACTTTTACTGGGACCTTCTGCAGCAATGTGATTGTTTTTCTTTTTCTTTTTCTTTTGCTGTGGCTGCGGTTCGACTGATGGCAGATAATCATCACTTTTCACTAGCTGGGTATTCGGTCCACTAACCTGAGTCATATCCGGCACTGGTTTCTCTAAAAAAGGTTCCGATGGAGAATGCTGAGAGAGACAAACAGAAATAAAATTGTACATTTGCAACTTCCATTTCTAAAACTTTGCTCTTATGGAGCAAGAGGGAACAATGGGAGAAAATATTAAGCAGGAAATTATGTTAGTAGCACATCCGAAATACTGCACAGCAAATCAGTAAACAACAACAACAACACTTTCTGCAGTTAAAATGGTGGCGAAGTGACCAGAAATATTTGGTGCATCAAAGGTAAAATTATTCTGTAATCAAGCTTGTATACAAAGTGGAATTAGAGAAAACATTTAGACTCTTCAACTCTTAGATGCAAAAGGACAGTAATTGTTATTTTGGACATTTCTGTATTCAGAGTAGTTGTTAGTAGAATAACTTGTTGCAAGTGATTCTGTTGCACTGAGATCTTGTCCTTCAGAAAAAAAAAATGTTGAAGTCTGATTCTAGATGTGCAGTAAGAAAATAAAAGACATTCACAGGCTGTATTTATACAACATTAATTTACCTTGGTTCATGCTGTGACAGTAAGTACTTAGATCAGCACACGAAGGTTTAAGTCACTTTAAATTTAATATACGGTTACATTTTATGTCAAAGAACCACAGCTCCCTGCTTATAATTGAAACCTGCTACAGATTGGACAAAGTATTATATTAAGTAATTGTGAAACTGCAAAAGCATCCTTTTTCAAAGTCTATGTAGTGTATCAGACTTATGTCAGACTTTCATAAAGTATAGGAAAACCTTTGTGTATTATACAGATGCAAAGTGCCTAGACTAAGCATATTGGATATACTTGAAGTTCTCTCTTTAATAGTTCTATTCTACCCAAATATCCACGAGTCTGCAAAGAAAAAGCATCTGAGCTCTATCTTGACTTTGTGGCATATCCAAGCTCTGACCTGCTTCTCACTGCCTGCCTGCCGCTATGCAATCATGACCATGGTGATTTTCAAGAAAAAAAAAGTAATAGCATGACAATGAACTGATGCTTTTCTTAAAACTGCATAAAGGATCAGACCATCTTCTCATCCTCTTTATCTCTGTTTCTCCTACCTTCCCCTACCTATGCCCCTAGAAAGTGGGTGTAATTCTTAGTGTAAGAGTTCCCCATTAGCCATGGTCACAAATTGTGGAGAAGAAAAGTCTATAGCAAAGAAGAATGTTACTTCTAGGAATAGGACAGCCTGTTTGTAAGGTTATTTGTCACATTTTCTCTTTTCTTCCAAATGGTACTTGAGAACAGCAAGTATGCAACGAACAATTACAAACCCTGTGTCCTAAGATTTAGGAAAATAAAATTCTTAATCATTGCATGAGAAAGCAAATGCACATGTATTTTTTCTAGACTGTAAACTATTTTCAGCATTTCTTCACAGTAGCAAAAGAAAAAAAAAAAAAAAAACCCACTATGCCCTGAGTATAACTACCCAAGCAGCAGAAGGAGCAGACCTGCCAAGGGAGGGAGAGCACATACCTCTTCTGCTGTTGGGAGAGTTTTGACTGGTATGAACTACATACTCTGGTTTGCTTTGAAGGAGACTCCAGGACAGAAGAAAAACCCAAGCAGCTGACCAAAGGTATGGGTCTACTTAGCTTAATCTAAATTATTGCAGGCTTCCATCCTCCTCTTGTTTATTAAGATACTATTGAGCTCAGCAGGGCCTTAGTCACAGTAGAAACTCAGCTACACTGCCAATCTGATGCACCCATTTAATTAGTACCACATCCATCAGCTCCACCTCAAGGCAATCAGGCATCCTGTATCAACACCTTGTCTAGAAAGCTGTGGACACAGTAATACCTGGATAACTTCATGCTGGAGAGTTCAGAAAATTGGATATCAGTGATTCCAGTGAGTTCTACAGTCCAATTATGCACTCAGAAAATACATATACTTTGGATTGTTTTTAATGCTCCATTCATGAATTGAATGTCTCCTCAGACTTGTTCCTTATGTGACATAGAACATAATTGTCTTCTCTGTACCTCATATCATTATGTGCTTGTACTGCTTAACATTTATTTTTATGTTGGAAAGGACAGGAATATCACATAAATTACCAATAACTTTTCTTTTCTTTTTTTTAATATCAACAGGCTTTCAGAGCAGTATTTCTAAATTTCCCAATGCACACATGACTATATTTTCTGTCATTTCATACCTCATGCATCCTGCATTTGATTTTCAGACACTGAGTCCAGGTTTCACCGATGCCTTCACTGAGCTGTTTACTACAAATCTCAGTTTGTTTTTTTTTTTTTTTTTTAAATACTGCTCACTTGCTATGCTTAACATACAAGAAATCTTAAATTTTCCATTATTTGTAAAAATTTGTATTTAACAAGTGCTTTATGTTTGGTAATACACTATTTGTTTGCCATCTATAAGCTTCTGTGTGATACACTTTCTAGAATAAAATCAGTCAACTGTTTCAACTTTTTTCTTCCTCTTTTGAAGCATGCAAAGCAGCCAAGCCAACAAATAACTAAAAACTGCAAGAAATCCAGCAGTGCTGTCTAAGTTTAGTTCTGTAAAACTTTCAAGATTTCACCTACATTAGTGATAGGGCCGTGTCTCTGAAAGCAGTATAAAGTTTTATATACGCTTGAGAATTCTTGTTACCATTCTAATGTAACTCAAAAAAGTCATCTTTTTTTCTAGTCATGGTTTGAACAACTTTCAACATGGTTACAACCAAATTTGAGCATAAGGTAGAGAGGTTCCACAACAGCAATGACAACCCTTTATGATCTGACATTTGCAGTTCTATGACAAGGTCCGGTCATAAGGTTACATGGCAGCAACTGTTTCCATGCTGTAGTACTCAGTACTCCCTGTAACTGTGTTCAGTGCCATTTTGTAAGGTGTCACCCTGTGAAAACTCACATTCTTCCTACCTCAAAAAGAATATCCACGTTCTCAGACTCATAAAACTATATTATCTATACATAAGTGCAAACTCTACATGTGAAACAAATACAGTGCTTACAACCTTTTATTTACCATGTCAAGGCAGGTGTGTAAGTATACAAACCAAATCTCTATGATTTTGGTTTATATCACTCACGCCCCCCAGACATTAAGCTACACACAGCCATCTCTACTCTAATTATGATTTGGTTGCATTTCCTTTTACTTAAAAATACAGTTGTTCTGCTACGTGCTACTTACCTCCACAGATTTGGCATGTTTTATAATTCACTTACACGTGATCTTCTAAACCTAGCGCTCTTTCAAAGAAACGGGTGCGATAACTTCTCTTTTCTAGGAAGTCTGTGCTTGCACTTTAGCAATATTCTAAAACAGCACATCCCTTACTGACAACCCCACATTGCTCCCTAGTGTGAAGCCGTGTAGGAGCAGCACAAGTCTGGTGAGCAGAGGAGAGGGGAAGCAGCTCAGGAGATGCGTTTTCATACCTCAAACCAGTTGTCTGCTCTTTCTTAGAAGGGGAGAAAAGGGAAGGCTTTCACTAGTAAATATTAGTTTAAGCCTACCACAGGGAATTATTTCAAATAGTTCTTCTTTAGATCCACAAAGGATTAATTCTAGTTGCAGGGTCATAATTTCTGACGAAAGAACACCATTTTCCATTTACAAATTAGGAAAAGATGCATACTGTGAATTTTTACCAAAAGACTGAAGAATCTATCTGCGTATTTGATGGAAATCACTTCTCCTCCTGCTTTTACCCATAATAAAGCCATAGTTTAGCACATTGGTACAGAACTTAATCTTCCACAGGAGAGGAATCAGTGAAGATTAAATACAAATAGGTATTAATCCTATTTGATATCTCATCGGAATTATTTTTGGTATTATTTGAAATAAGGTGAAAAAGGTGCTCAAAAATATTGGTGTGTTTACTAGACCCACATCTCTTTAAATCTTTTAGAGAAAAGCTGTTTTTGTAAACATTTAACAAAGAACAGATGGCCTGTTTTAATCATGCGAAAAAACCTGGAGCTCACATTAATACTCCTAGCACAGCCTACTGGGTCTAGTCACCTCCCTAACCAGCAGCACAAAACAGGCTTCAGTAATACCATTTAATTTTACAATGGATATTTTCTCATCAATTCCCCCCGTCCGACAGTTAATCAATGCTATTAACGTGCAATATCACAATGCAGGACACTGCTAAAGATCGCAGCTTATTAGAGCAAAACAGTGATTCTTCAGCAGCTCTGAGTGTTCAAACCGTTAGCAGCTCAACAGGTTACCAGGGCAGTCATACACTGGTGTGTTATCACCGAAAACCAGTGACGTCAGAGCCAGTTTTATAAGGAAACTGTATTTCAGGTATTGTTCCTGGAATACTAAACCTCCCTCTTTTGGATTGAAAACTTATTTTTAAACTTCCAAACATACATCAGCCAAGATTTGGTGAGTTAAAAACTAAGCTGCCTGCATTTCACAGCCGCTCACATATTTAGATCTAAGCTCATTCTCTGCAACCCATAGAAGCGATATACACCTCTAACCAGGCCTGTTATGTAAAGTAGCAAGATGGACAGGATGGGGGATTAACCCAGTGAGGGTTAGTGGCACCGAGGGAGGCTAAGGAGAATCTCTCTGTTGCTTGAACACGGATTGAACCACAATCAACTGTACTTAAGTGCTGAAAGTAGATGAGTGGCAGTTCCCCAGTAGAGCAGCAACTTGAGCCAATATTGAGCTTGTAGGATGGTGAAACAAGAGCAACAATGTATGTGACGTGACTCAGCAAACCTTGTGAAATTTAAACATCAGTGTTAAACAATAGAAGTCTCTCCCTCTGTTTTGTTTTGTTGTCTTTTTTTTTTTTTTTTTTAAATCAGGACTACTTCAGTATCTACTCTCTCAATCTCCCCCATCATTTTTAAAAAGATTGCCTTTAACCAGAAGTTACTCAAATTTTCTTAGACTGGTTTATCAAGTGAGTTGTGTTATGGTAAAGTGAGCAACCAATCACTTCCCACTGGTTCCAAAATACAAAACCCTCCAACACAATATATACAGCAAAAATTTTTG